TGGAAAGATATTCATGTGGGATTTTGGGAACCGGAATTATGGAATTAAGGAATTTATTGTTACTTCGGTAACAATACATGTAACAGATCGAGTCATTTTTTTATAAGGCAAAGAATTTATGCGGTGGATGTTTACAGCACAGTATACGTATTTAATATATATTTCAGATACAGAATTTGCAACCGAAAACAAAGAATCATTCGACGAACGCTTTCTTCAGGCATTGAAAGAAGTTCAATAATTCAAATTTGCATTTGAAAAACACTACTGCCATACCAATATGGAACAACAATTATCAATGAGCCTAGGTTTTTATTAAAATTAGTTGCCAAAAGAACTCAATTTTTTGCACATTGCTACGATGTAACCAAGGGTGAGAACTACTCCGTAGGAACTCAAAATATAAGAAATACGCCATTGGATAGTATTTGAAACCAGTAGAGTGGAAATGCAAGAGAACAAAATACAACGTGATGAAAAAAAAATCATCGAAGGTTGGATATTCTGTAGCGACATCTAATCTTGGTTGATGTTACTATTTCAACGAAGAAATTTGAAGAAGATATTTCCCTGGAAGTTTTTAACAATTATGCTCAATACTACTTATCCGAATTTCATTTTCGAACAATTGGATTGAGTGTAAAATACGTATCTAAAATTCGCGGAATCTGATTTTAAATACTCTCGATTCAAATTTGCAGGATGTTATCAATATGCCAAAGTTCTCGAACGCTAAATCATCTGATACAAGTATCGGTATCTAACGAATTCAAAATATCTGAAAGCAAAACATAATATATTTTTCGAGCCAACCAGCTCTGCTGCTTGTTCTCTCGTGCCTTATCGTTCAATAAATAGTATATTTAGAGTTAAAGCCTTTCTTTTATACATTCCTATAGCTACATTAAAAATTACAAATCTTATCGTCCTATGATGTGTTAATTGCAAATGTGCTCACAAAAATTTCTTACAGATATGCACATGACTATTAATTTTAATGGTAAAAATACTAGTTGTAATAACATACACAAACCCAAGCAAAATAAAAACAATTAAATGCCAAAAAATAATTACATGAATAATAATTAAATTGTTCTAGTTTTCATATTAGCCCACACCTTAAACTCCTTACAGATTTTAGAATGTTCACCACCCGGCAAACAACTATCACGCTTCGGAACAACACGAACCAGCTGCAGCTTCTCGAACGTCGGTTTAGACAACGGGGACATCATGTCGGGAGAAGTAAGCCCACAACAACTGCTCAATGTCAATGTTTTGAGATTCGTGCACTCGGATAACGCTATGAACATTAACGGTTTCTCGTTGAAATTGATTTCTTTGAGTATCACGTGTTGTAGTGTTGATTTCTGGGTTAGAATCGCGGCGCACATTTGCTCGTTGTTGTATAGATGGCAGTTTTGGAGTGTTAAAGATTTGAGATTTTTTTGTGATTGGATGAGAAATACTGATGCATTGGATTTTTTATGGATGTATGCGTGTAAGCCTAGCCATTGATCTATTATCGAGGAAAAATATCGAACTGTTATATGTTCCTATAAAGAGTAATCATAAAATTATTATTGATGACAATACATAATAACTACACAATCATAAATCATCAACTTACTACTTTATTACAAATCGAGGCCAACGCTTGCACTTCATTATCACCGCCATCAAAAGATCCACTCAACTCCAAATGCTTAATATCCTTCAGCAAACACTGAACATCTTTAGCCATCAACGGTGCGTACATCCCACGCTGATACCTGTTCACACCCGGATACAATTGCAAAGCCGTCAATCTCGCACCCTCTCTCGTAAACAACTGCAACACAGTTTTTGTCAGCAGCAAATGCGAGTCAGTGGATTGTCCACGTTTCGCACTATTCTTTTTACAGAAATTCCGGCAACAATCAATTAATGCACCGTAGTTCAAGTTTTTGATGTGTGCAGCGTATGAAAATCTCGTGGCTGGATGCGATTTTTGCTTCGTGGAAAATGAAGATTTGACATCGATATCGATACCGGAAACTTTAAGTAATCCTCGTTGAGCCACTTCAAGCGATGCCAAGTATACGGATAAAACTTTAAGGTTTTGCTGCGGATGATATTTTCTGATTGGTTGACTCCATAATATTGGGACTATAGCTTGCGCCCATGCACGCGATACCAACAGACAACTGAATAAATCATGATAGATGGCGTATTCGAAAATTTCTGTGTGGTTGTTATTCGTAATTCCAATCAAGTGTAGAAAGATTTGTACTAGAACATCGAATGCTATCGCTGGTTTGACTGGTTTTGTTGTGGTGATGGTGGTGGTGGTGGTGGTGGTTAATTTTTTGGTCGTTTTTATTGTTTTAGTTGGTTTTCTATTTTTTTGAATTGTCGTCAACGTTTTTTTGTCTTTAATTTTTTGATGCATTTTAATGATTATATTAATAAGAATTTTTTGTCGAAATTATAAAAATCGAAGAAATTAATCAAAAGAAAGGGAAAAAAAAAGTTGTGGGGTGATGCTTTATTATTATTATGTTATTTGGTTTTTCTCACAATAAAGTTGGTTCGTCTTGTGAGACAATAATATCGATAATGATTCAGTTAAAAGTTTTAGTGTGTGATACATCAAATAAATAACGATAGTATATAGTTCATATCAAGTAATGATAAATGATATAAAATAATACGTAGAGGCAGTTCGTATTATGTAAATTATGTAATATATAATAAATACTAACGCTAAATGAATACAATACCGATACTACATGTAATATAATGCCATTTACTCTCGCCCGCTCTCTATGTACAGTAGATAGAATTTTATATAACGCGCGATTATGTTAATATTGTAAGCAGGCAAGTCGATGTAAAAATGCGCGTGCTGATACTGCTTCTTGCTTGCTGCATGCAATAAAGTTTTTTTTGCTCGTTACTATTTATTGTTCTCAACATGTTGTTCCTTTTTTCTCTTTGTCTCGCATGTTTACAGACTATTGGACGTAAGTGTATGTTCGCTAGTGAAATAAAAGTGTCGCATGTACTCGCATCACAAAGAGAAAATCATCAACCTACCTATGGAATTAGCATAATTGCACAAAAGATCGAAAAGAAAACGTTCGATACAGTACAACATCATCATCACCCGTTACTCTTGTTTCGGGTCATTGTTTGCCTCTTTTACATCTGTTCTCCCGATGATTTCATTGCACACCCACAACAAACAAAACATTCAATTCTTATCAAACCTAAAACCAGTTTTCTTATTTTTTTGATATGCCTCATTGATCCGCATGCATCAACATTATTGGCGATGATAGGTTCGGAATGATTTATTGGATGATGATCCGTGAATGTGTGAAGTCGATTATACATGTATTTTGTTCCCCATATTTGGGTGTCCAGAATATCGGGATGACATGATCACAAATCCGTCGTTATTTTTAATTTTTAATAATGATTAACGTTAACATATAAATGAAGGTGCAAAAACGCTAAAACCAATTTTTTCATCAATTCATCTGTTCACGTCACACACCCATTGAATCTTATCGTTATTATTTAAAACAAATCATTGAAGAGAATCAATTAGAAATTTCCCCGCGTGTGATTCATTTCAGTGCTATGATTTCGGGGTATGCATAAATTGTGTCAAATTAGGTTTTACTATCGTTGTTTTTCTTTCTGAACCAATCCGTTCGAAAAATCGTGAATACATTACCTGACCTGTTTTTTTTTTTTTTTAGATTGTCAGCAGCCACAAATATGACTTATGATCTGATCGACCAGACCCAGATGATAAGTATATAAAATGCATGACCAAACAGATGTTATTCTTACTTTTTAAATCGACATTTATTAATATATGGTTATGACCTTTAACCAAATAAATTATCTATGTGCTTTTTTCTCTTTGAAGAATTAAAAGTTTGCCATTTAAACTAAATAAGAAGAATAAGAGATCTATGCTTGATTTGACTTAAAAAAGCGCATAGGAATTACTTGTCAATAAAAGTATAATTTATAATTTAACTTCCATATTTATCCAATTAATTTTTACTGGAAAGTTTCTACCTCTTTTATATTCCCCTTTTTTGGAACCATAGGGATTTTTTGGGCTTTGAAGGATATAACTGAGAATAGAAGAAATATAAACTAAGAAAATCCGTCCCAGCTCAAATGTGGAAGATAAATGAGGTTGGCAATAGGGTGGATATAAATGGGGGAGATATGACTGTATCAGAAAAGCGTAGATGTCGTACTTCAAGCGTCGCTTGCGTCAGGTATCACCCAGCCCAACTAGGGTTAGGATTAAAGTTAATTCTGGGGAAATAGATTAATGTTGGCCGAAGGCGAACACGTGAAACGCTAACTGACGCAAATCGCCATCTGAGGCACAACATACGTATACTTGTACATGTACATTACAAAGTTAGTCCTTTTCGTGAGGTGGAAATATCTGCAAATCAGCTACTAAAAGGCTTACGACTGACGAAATTGTCTTAGTAGGTTTTACTTGTGTTTGCTACATGCAAAAGAACCTTTTGGTATTTTATCTCATATCATCATAGCGGTTATTGGAAAACTAAAATAAAATCTTATGCTGACTTTTCCTTGCTTTGGCAAAATCATTTCAGTCTATTATTTAGAAGTATGCATATCGATATTATTATATAGTGTACTTCAAAGACGGTTTTTCGCGGCATTTAGAGGTATTAAAGCTATTTCCCTAAATTCGTATATTGTATTTTATATCGGTAAAAGTAAAAAAAAATGCGGACTCATAATTAAAAAAAAAAAAAGATCTTTTAACGCTAAAAAGCCATCAATTTTACTACATAATGCTCAAAAATTAAATTTTATGATAAATTTTGTATCATTTGATTATCTTAGTATTGTTTACTGCAAAGTAATGAATTATTAATTCCAATTATCATATCAAAACATTTATCGTTATTATTGTTATGTCTTTCTATGAGTATAAATGTACAGTATGTAATTACGTGCATAAAATAAACACACTTTTGTTTACAATGAATTTATTATACATACATGTTCTCGGGCATATTACAAGCATTTGTTTTCCACGACAACGGATCGGATAAGTCGTTTTGATTCTGAAGTTTAAAATCACACGTGGACTGATCAGTCATGAACAATTATCCCGAAACTGTTTACCTCACACAAAGAAATAAATTCCTCATGCATTTTTCCTTGAGCTTTATAACGCACTTTACAGGAAATCTGAAATTAACGTTTGATTTTTTCGTCCACTCGGATATACAGATACATGTACGCGAAGGTCCTAAATGTCAAACACACTTCCGAATTAAGAATGTGAATGAAAAACATGCATATCTATATTTTGAATAAAAGTTTATCGTTTTTCTTTATTCTCGGTCTATCTACACGAGCGATATCTCTACTATAATAAAGCAAGACAAATATAAAATGTTTCGAATACCTAAAAAATTGCTTTTCCTCGCATACATAACAACGCTGATGTTGACATTATTTACTATAGCCGAATCAGTAGCAATAGACAGATCTTCAACATCTCTCGACACATGTGAACAATCATTCTCTACAAATTCATGTTCAGAATGTCAAAAAACTATATACTCTTCTCCAAGCAGAGGTGAACTTCAAGGATGTTTTATAGATAGTACTTTTTCTCATGACAGTGATTTATCGATAACGACAAATCTTAGCAACAGATTAAATACCTTTTGTGCATTACCATGTGACGAAAAAAAAGCACTTGAATTCGTAAATAATCTTCAACGTAACTGTAAGACAGAAATATCAAATGCTGTGGATTTAGTACAAAGAAACAACGACAGCAGCAAAGATAACAATAATAATAATAATAATAGTAATAGTAAAAATTTCACGCCCCATGATGATTTTTCGATTTATGTCTTAAAGATTGTTGTTTCTGTTTATTCGGCAATTCCGCAACGATGTGTATTATGTTCTAAGGATTCTAATGGCGGTAAGTGTATGAATAAATGTCTGATTATTTCAAAATTATTAAATTGAATTTTTCATTTGCTGATATTATGGTAGAATATGATGCAGTAAATATATTATCACAAACAGCCATTTTTCTAAAAAACGTGACAAACAACTTTTCGCTATTCGATTTCCTACTAAATGCACAACTACTATACGCAAAACCTGACGACACAACATACACCGAAATAATCATACCAGATCTAATCCTTTGCAGTGACAGTTACAAAGAAATCGTAAACATTTGGGTTAACTACAATAAACAGAATCCATTAACAATAAATACATTACAAAGGTCATTCGACACTGTAATTGCGTCTACAATCGGAAATCTGTCGGAGACTTGTGGAATTAGAATTAATGACATTAGAACAAACAATAATAAAAATAACATCTCTAATAACGGAACGACGACGACGAACAACAACAGAAATACGAAAGTTAGCGTTGCATCGAAAAGTAGTAATGTTATAGGAACAATAAGAGGAATACTTTGCATTTGCATGGCTACGGTTGTGGCATTGGTGGCTATACTGTTTTTTTAGGTATGTTTGGGGGGATCGGAATTAGAGAATTATTTCCTTTGTGGATTTTTTGCTTAGAAATGTATTTTTAAAAAAAAAAGCAATCCATCCCCTCAAGATCGTATAAATGAATAAAATCATGTGTATGTCAATAAATAATGACTGAATCTAAAAAAATCATAGTAATGTAGAATGCTGCTTTTTCGTTAATTTATATTGAAAATATGCTTTATATGCTAAAAGAGTTCCTAGTTAATCCTAAAGTTGTGACCCAAAAAATGTATTCAAATCTGTAATTTGTATGTTTCCGCATTATTTGAGCTGATATATTATGCATTACGTACTTGGTTTACTATTGGTGGTGATTTTTTTGGATAAAATTTTATTAAGGAATTGGCTGTTGAAATGATCATGATATTTTGTTTGATTTAGTACTTATTAGTACTTCATTGTATTAATATTAATTTGGCTGCTTTGTAGTTATTTCAATCTTAGTATTTAGATTGCACCAAATCATTCAGTATTTTTTCATTAATTTGTGCTTGATTAAAAGCTTTTAGTGTATTTCTTCCATGATTTAGTTTGAGTTTCTATTTGATTCATTATTTAAACTATCATTTTCTTTGGCACTTGTATATATTAGTAAAAATCATCGATTTTCTATTAATTTAGTGAATACTATAAGTTAGTAACTTATATGTATATCAAATTAATTTTAAAATTAATTTTAGCATTTGAAATAATTTTACTGTTTTAATTCATAAATTCTATAATGTGATTTACAATTAACAATAAATAATTTTAAAAAATTTTAAATTAGATATGAATAACTATTAATAAAAATAAAGAAATGAATAAATTTTAATTTGCAATATTTCAAACTTTTATTATATAAATTAAAGTTTATTAATTGAAAAATAATTAATATATCTGTTTTTATTATTTGATATAAAAACTTATTTATTAATAATTATAATATTAAATTTTATTCAGTATTATTACTTTATTATGTCCAATAATAAAAATTATTGGACTGAACCATATTAAACTTAAAATTACTAAGTTTAATAATCTAATAGTATTATATTCAGTATAATTCAATTAATACTAATTTTATTAAATATTTAAATTTAATTTATAAATAAAAATAAATTTAAAATTATATATTCAAAATATTATTTAATTTAAATTATATTAAAATAGTTTTTAAATTATTAAAAATTTTATAATTAAAATAAATATTATTAATTCAAAATTTATAAATATAATAAATTATATTTTTTTAATAATATTTTAATTGTACTTTTAAATTTTTATATTTATTTATAATTAGTTATTAATTATTATATTAATAATTAATTATTATTATTATTATTAATTAATTATAATTAGAATTTATTAAAAATATGTATCTGTATAGTTATGTATTTTCTAATCTCTCAGGATTGTGAAACAAAGGACCATTGTTACTTGATCCATTTTGCTAAATCTATATTCCCAAGTTTGGGTAACCAACCTGTATCAAAATGGATACCACAAAATTCCAAGACCTGAAATAAAATACTCCATCAATGCAAAATTAGTTTAGTTAAGGCAGGGAAAAGATTAACGTCAAGAAAAATTCATGAAACATTTCTCGACAAATATTAACATCAAATCATCATAATGATCACATGACATGCTAATCAGCTACGTACAGGGGGTGGAAAAAAGTATTGGACACTTTTATTTTATTAATTACTTTAAAATATATATAATAAATTATTTTTAA